GGTGTTCGGGCGAAGCCCCATGCATCCGAAGGCCTCCCACTGCGTAACCAGGTAGAGATCCTCAGAGTTCGGGCCGCACCACGGAGCCGCGCCCAAAGTGCCAGCTTTATCTCGGTCGGGATCCCTTTCCATGTAGCTGTACGTCGGCCTGATCGGCTTCTCGTAGAACAACGCCACGTGCAACCAAACATCTGAGACATCATCGGGCACGGGATCTCCAACAGGATGATCGGGGCCAGCTCGTCCAGGATTGACGCACCCGAACCGTGCAGCCAAATGGCCGCGCTTCAGCAGGAGCCGAACGTTGCCATTCATTCGAGAACAGATGCGAAGATATGCCAAGAACTTGTCCATCCACTGGTCCTTGAACCGCCCGCTTCCCTTGCAGATGCACCCCTGGGCTTCCCAGCAACGCCGAATACGGATGTAGCGATGCAAATCTTGCCATCTCCCTCCGTTCGCCTCCAGGGTGGTCTTGGCCAAATGCTCCAGGGCAGCCGTTCGAACCGTCTCCGCAGAACGGTTCCAAGTCATCACGAGCATAGGGGACGGCTCAGCGGTAAGATCGCCACGAGGCAAGGCCACCTCCGAGCACGCAGCTGACCCGCCAACGAACGACCAGGACTGCGCCTCTCCATCGACAACCCGGCGCGAGTTATCCCGCAGCTCAGTCACCCTGGCTCGCTCCTCCTTCTCCTGGGCGGCAGCCAGAGCACGCTCGCGGCAGAGGACCAACCGCGACTCCGTCAGGATGCGGCCGCACGGCGGCGGCGTCTCCTCCTCGGCGCCCCCGCCCGCGGGTACAAGCTCGACTGCAGGTGCGCCATCATGTTCAGGGCCGACGCCTCCAGGTCGCCCAGCGCCGCCGTGGAGCGCGCGCGACTGGCGCGCGCGCCGACCAGCCGCGCCTGCCCTGGACGACTGCGGCGGCATGTACGTAGGAAAACTCCCATGGCCCTCAGCCCTCTGCTTCGCGGCGAGCTCGCCCAACTCCTCATAGAAAGATGTCTCATCCGCTGACAGATTGCGATATGCTTGGCTCATCTCAGCTGCAGTCTCCGCCGTAATGTGCCGACCCTTCGCCTGCACGTGAAGGAACGCCCTCCACGTCCAAGAGCACCTCCTCGGGGGTGGCTTCTGGGATTCCCCGACCGCCACCGCAGCGGCGGCGCCGCGCGGGCGCTTGCGCTTTTCAACATTGGTGCCCACGTCTCTCCTGTCCGAACAACACCTGCGACAACAGAACCATGCTGATAACTCCTCCAAGTGTTTCTCGTGGGTCTGGACGCGGAACTTGTTGCGCCTCTCGTTCGTGGAGTGCTCCCTCTCGGTCGACCCCGTGTCTGATTCCATCACGCTCAGCAACGCCATGAGCTCGGCCCGCGCGCAAGACCCTCCAACAGCCTCGCCGTAGTACTCGACAAAGCCAGCAGTGAACTCGTCCAAACAACAAGTGCACCCACGTGACTCCTTCAGCTCTTGAAGAACAGAACCATCATGCAAGGATGCGAAAGTCTTGTAGGGCCACCAACGATGGGGGACCTCGACCAGCTCATACGTCGCAGTGGCCATCCTGGCCAAGAGCACGTACAGCTTCATGCCCTGGGCCTCCGTCTGGTTCGAAAGGGTGCGCCAGAGAGCTGGAGTGCACATCAAGTCCGCGACTTCGTCTCTGAGCCGTTTCTCTGGATCGCCACGGTAGGCCTCCCACAGCTGGTACGTGCGGGAGCCGTCACGGAGAAACTTAACCTGCTGCTCCCGTTCCCATCCCACGCCAGACAACGCTAATTGGTTGAGAATCAATGTCTCCGTCGGGCCGTACTGGATTCGAGCAATCAGCAAGTCGTCCTCGAACGTGCCACCGAGAATCCAACTCTGGGTGTCCTTGACCCTGGTCTCGGCATCTTGGCGCCAGACAGAGATGTCGCCGCCCTCTACGTCCTCGTCGCCGCCGTCGTGCGCGTCGTCAGCTCGAGAGATGCTCGGCTGCCCTGGCCCGCCTTCGGCGTCGCCAGTCGCCTTCGCCGCATGGGCCTGGCAGCCCCCTCGAAGCTTGTGATCCCTCCCAGGCACTGCTCGCATCCACGCCTGCTGCGCGAGCCCATGGACGTGCGAGATCAGGCCGATGCTGTTGATGCACTCGCTGGTCCCCGTCCAGTTCGAACGGTTCAGCACGGTGACGCCTGACCCGCACAAGCATTGCATGCCCTCGTCGCACATCAGTCTCAGCGTCTCTCTGAACGATGAACAACACCCATTGCAGTAATGCTCAACTCGACCACGGCGTCGGATATCACCATTGAATAGCCTCCCTAGAAGACCCCGTCGATACTTAGCGCTCGGCGTGGCGCCTGGCACGAACAAGTCGTACACGGCCTCCCTGTGAGATGATGCTTCAGCACTGCAGGCGCCAGACCTGATGACTACGAGCTGCTCCTTGAGTATTCTGCGCATCTCTCGTCGCAAGTCGGCCATGGCACCACCTTGCACTGTGAGGGCAAATCTGATCAGTTGCGTGTCCAATGGCTTCACCGTGGCGAACGACAATGTTGACACGGTTGCCTTCCTGTGAGCATCGCAAAGCAAACCCACGCGTGTTCTGGCAGGGCACTCGTTCAAAAAGAACCGCTCAGCCCGTAAATTGCCGCCGAATCCGTCGCACACACATGCATTGATCACTCGATGGAATGATGAGTCCACGAGGTCGTCACACGGTAACTTGAGGTGGCGCAGTGCTGCGACGATACACTCAGCTTTCGTACTATTGATCGCCTGGAGGAGAGTGGGCTGGGGCAACTTCATTATCATCGTGCGCGCTTGCCCATGCTGAATCCGTCGGAACGCTATCACAAAAGACGCCTCTGTCACAAACAACTCATGGGCACCTTTTTGTGTAAACACGTCGTCCTCGCCGTCATCGTCTCGAACATGCGTCGTCACTCTCAAGTGCTTGCACTTCGTGCCGTCGTACTTGCGGTACCGAATCGCACACAAGGGTTGAAGCAGAACTCCATGGACGCGTTGCCTGCACATGTGGATCGAACGCTGCACATACATGGGCATCGCCTCCCTGACTGTGTCGTAGGCCGCGCACGCAAATGCGTGCATCATGGGGTACACGTGGGACCTCGACACATCTATTTCGTCGGCGAGCGTGCTGGTACTGCATAGACGTGCACCCTCCTGAATCGACGGGACCAACATTCTCGATGCATGAGCCTGGTGTGAGTCTCGACTCGGCTCGCCACTCGAAGCTGCAGGCGATCTGGCCTTTGCTAAACGTGCCTGTCTTTTAGATGGTGCCGCGAGAGTCGATTGGATAACCTTATGATGGGCAATCGGCTTTGGCATCGACTCGTCTCTGATGAAGACAAAAGGTTCTCGGGCCACATTATCCCGTACCACAACTGCTGACGAGGGGCGGTCGGGAATCCAACTCTCATCATCTGCGGCCCCAGGGCTGCCCTGACGCGGAACATCTGAATCACCACCACCACGTTGAATCAAGCAGCCACTCCAATCGTCTTCATCGTCACGCGAGTGTACTTTACAATGTCCAAACCAATCATCTTCATCATCTACCATTGTAATTGAAACACAGCATGAGGTGCAACATGTCCGCTGTGCTCCAGAGAGTGTGGAAAGCTGAGATGGGCCCAAACGGTTGCGGAGCTAGGCAGCGGGAGCGACGAATCAAAACTCCATGAACGTCTATCTTCGCACCCGCGCGCCGTCGTCCCCACATGAACAAGGGCCTTTTCACGGTCCAGGCCGCGAGGCGCGAAACGCGATTATCCTCGCGCGCGCAGGTGGCCTGTCATGCGCACCCCGAGTGCACAAGAACGCCCAGAACCCAAAGAGGAGGACCGTTACCCAGGATGTGGGAGGGGCACCAGGCCCCGACCTCCTGGAACACCAGGGGGCCGAGGGGACAGGGATAACCTGGCCCTCGGGCCAGAGGCCGACATCAGCAACCCCTGGAAAACCACGGTTGTGCCCCCGAAGAAACGGGACCCAAGGACACCCGACCAGGAGGACCAATGGGACACGATCAAGGGGGGGGAAGGATACCAGAGGGGGAGGAAACAGATAAGCACAAGGACATTGTAATGTAGGAGTACTGCGGGTAGGGAATTCGCGAGGGGGGGAAGCAGGAGAGTAGGAGAAGGTGGGCAGTATTGGGGCAGTGGTGGGAAATGTGAATGGGACGCGCAGGAGTAGCAGAGGCGTATGTGAGCCTGCGGAAGGAGGCAGGTAAGGAGGTTGGGTGAGGAGAAATGGGCCTGGCGAAAGGGAGGAGGAGGAGGTGCTGGAGAGCAAGCAAGAGAGTGGGACGGTAGCGCAGGGTGACGGGGAGGGACCCACCCGAACGACGCGGGGCGGCGAACGGCAACCACGGCAATGCGGCACGGCGCCGCACTACACAACGGCACGACACGGCACTGCAACACAACGCAGAACCACAGCGGCACGGCGCGGCGGCACAGCACGGCACGGCCCCTCCACGGTACCACACGGCGCCACCGCGGCACGGCGCGGCGCGGCACCACGGCACGGCACGGCACGGCACGGGATCACGACGTGGCCCGCGCAACGAGGCGCGGCACCGCGACGCGGCACGGGACCACGGCACGGGACAGGGCGCACGGCAGACCGAATCGTGAGATGGCCCCGCCTTAGGACTGCGGCACGGCACGGCGCACCTCGCGGGCGCTGGCACCTCCATGGCCCTGAGCTCAACACGGCGACGGGCCCCATGAGAAACTTAACTCAGAAGCTTAAGGAAGGGCGCCCGACCATGACGAACACACGTTTAGGGCGAAGGAGAGTTTCCCATCAAAAACCATATGGGGCCGACCTGGCCCATATCCAAGAAACGACATCGTAACCCTGGAGCATGAAACAAATCACCGAAATTTCGTGCTGGGTCCTGTCCAGCCCGGCAGCGAGGACGGCGACAACGACGACGACGGCGACGGCGGCGCCGGCGGCCCGGGGGCCTGCGCACGTCCAGCGGGTGGCGGCCCACCTCTGCCGGCCCGCCGGGGGTCGTCGCCGCCGCCGGCGGCGGGGGGGGAGGGGGCGGGGCCCGAACATGCTCATGTCCACCGCCTGCCAGGTTCCTCGGGGCTTCGTAATCGGGGGTTTAGCTAAAGGGGTGGCTTAGGCTTTTCCATATACCCTCGTTGACTGTACTCCCGTTTACGGCGCCCAGGGCCCCCTCAACGGGGGCATAGCCAAACGTGGACATCGCGACTCCCCGTACCCCCGCTTGCTGTGGCCCCATCTCTGACGCCCTGAGTTCCCCGAAGATCGGCCCCCCGAGCGGTGGGTTGTGGATACACCCCCGCCTCGGAGGCCAGGATCCCGCCGCCGCCGCCGACGGCGGCGGCGAGCACGGCGCCAGCCCCCGAATCGCGGCTGCTCCTGGCGGGCCCCCGCCAGAGGGCTGGGAAGCGAAAGGGCGCGCGCACCGCTGCTCCGCGGATCCCGGGGTGGAGCGTCAGGCCCAGAGGGCTCTCGCCTGTCAAAGACGGGGCGGCGGGGGTGTCTTCCAGCAGCGGAGAAGATTGCAGAAGGTGTTGATGATGGCGCTCGAAACGGGTGTGTATTGCAACATCGCCGGTGTGCCCCATGTTTGCTCACGTCCTCGGTGCTTCCCCTCCCCCCTCCTCCTCATCATCCCTGATCCTACCCTTCATTGGTCATCCTCCCTTTTCCTCTTCTTCCCCCTGCCTCCTCCTCCTTCTCCTCCTTCATCGTCCTCCTCCAGACTCCATCCTCCTCCCTCCTCCTCCAACTGCACATCCTCCTCCAACTCCTCCCCTTCCTCTTCCTTCCCCTCCCCCTCTTTCCCGTCCCTCCTCGAAATCGGCCCCAGACATATCCCAGGGCACGCCCTAACCAGGACCCCGAGGAGACCCCGGCCGTGGCGGGGAGCGTCCAGAAACCTCGATCCTCGATCAGACGACGACGACGACGACGACGACGACGACGACGACGACGACGACGACGACGATAGCGGCTGCGGCGACGGCAAGGACGACAGAACATGCCCGCATGAATCCGAGGTCCTAAAACGGTGCGGTGACAGACCGTGCGGTGCCCTGGAACATCCTGGAACCTGCGTCTCCAAAGGTGTAAGAGCTTCGTTCGCATATCCATGTCTGCGTCCGCTGAAACGTCTGGAAAGTGACGTGACGCAAGACTTGCATGGGAGGGCCCGCAGGACCCCCGGAGGATTCGGTGCCTGAGGTGGTCTAGAGGCTGCTCCAAGAGCTGAAGCGACGCCGGCCCCCGGCAAACAGCGCTGCCCGGCGAGGGGGAAAAAGAGAAAGAAAAACGAACGGAAAAGCAAACCAATGACGAACACAGGAACGAGTATCGGTGTCAGTGTGTTTTCTCTCCCCCCCTGGATTGGCACGCTCCCGCCCGAGGGCCACCACGTTGACGAAGCCCGGGGCGCGGTCAGGGAAGTGCGTCGGCCGGGAGGTCCTGTGCCTCTGCCGCGCGAGGGGCCCCTTTGCGGTGGGATCCCCTCCTCCTGATAGATACCTCATCCTCGACGTCGCACCACCAGGCGTGGCGGCAAGGCGGGCCAGGCCTTGCGCTCGAGACTCCCACCCCGCGTATGACGCTGAAGCTTGACAGTTCCAACAGCCACACGGGTGGAGCACGGGCGGTTTTCAACATGTGGTTCTGGCCACAGCGCCACGAACATGCAGCCTCAAGGTTCCAACGGGTTACAATAATGGAGGGCGGGTGAATGTCCACATGTAGCTCTCGCCTCACCGCTGCGCGCATTTACGCAGATTGGCGGAAGTTTTTTCAACATGGGGATCCCGCTCGAGACTCTTCTCAAGAAGCCGTGGCAATGTTGCATGTCTGTGCGAAGTGCGAATACACAGACAGAACACAGCTCATTTCAACATGTAACCTTTTCTATTGAACTGCCCACTGGTACTTTGACAACAAAAACCCACGTGCCACAGTGGCATGGATGGAGGCCGGCTCCCTGGCAAGCAAAGGTCGACCCCGACACCACCCCGAACTTTATACCCTTACATTTTCGCATTCCTCATAGCTACGCTCCAAAAAGGCACCCAGACGGGAGATCCGAACGAACATTCCGATCCCTCGGCACTTCCACCATCGCCAGTCGTCGGATGGAGCTCCGCTACGGGCTCCCGGGATAACGCTGCCATCTGGAATGCACGACAGAAGGGCAATACCAAAAATGCGGACAGATGACTCCAGGAAGGCCAATGCATGCCGATACGCCGCCAACTCTTTGAACCATTATGGATCGCGACGCTTCGACGGCAGAGCCAAGTAAACAACAAAAAACACCCGGGCGACTGGTGATTTCCTGACGCTTCGCGTAATCCCACCAGCCCAACCAAAAACAATGAACACGCGAGGTGCCCTGAACAGAATTGCGTAGTAGAAGCATGCGGCGCAGCAGTGGAGCACGTCCGTTCTTACAGATTCCTACAAGGAGGATAGAGCGGAGTAGGGAAGAAAAAGGGAGAGGATGAAGAGGAGCATGACCAATATGATAAGGAGAAGGAAAAATGCGGGCAGGAGGGAGTTGGAACATAATAGCGCCTGGAAAACAGGGAGACGCGAAGTACAATTGGGGGGACCCGTGCTGTGAAAGAGCACGTGCTCTTCCATCCACGGGGGCCAAGGCGCGCCCGTCGGCTGCGCACCGATGTGATTCAAGGGTCCTTGTGAGCCGAGATGGCGGCGCACGAGGGAGTTCAGAGAGAGGCGAAGGAGGGAGAGAGGCTGACATGGGCCTGGCAATCAAGGTTCCTACCTTGTCGCAGCCGAGACGCCGCCTCGCCTCAGAATGCGAAGATCAACTCCTGGTAGATACCGCAGCCATTCATTGAAATAGTCCCAAAGCGCCTACGACGCACAGCCGGTGCGGCTACGCGAACACGTGGGCCTCGAGAACATCTCTAGGAGAGATCCTTGAACGGATTGTCCGACGCGGGGTCCAAGATGAGGTCTTCCGATTTCGCTGCGTCCGTTGCCTGCCCTATCTGACCAATGAAACTCTGCGGCTCGACCCCGCAACGGTCGCACTGTTGGCCAGTGCGCTCCAGGTAGCAATCTGCTGCACCGGACTCCTTGGCCCACTGAGGAGCCAATCTCTCGTGCTGCGGAACAAGCTTGACCTCGAGAGGCGCTAGGTCGGAGCCCTCGATCTTCTCGTTTGAGCACGCGTGAACACTCGGAGACGCTGCGGGGACGGCCTGTGCCGCAAGGTTCATCCTGACCGTGCGATTCCAGCGCCTATACCATCCAAAGCCTTGCTCCTTCACCTGTACCTTGCCCCAGATCTCCCTCGTCGTCGTAGTGCGAATGCAGAGCGCAGCGACGTAAACGCTGCCTTCGGTCTGGCACCACTGCTTGTGGACATGCATCTTGGGATGGCGTGCGCGACGATTGCAAATCACCTGCAGCTCGAAAGTGCAAGAACACAAATTCATCGCAGGGCCGACGTCGGACGACGCATGCACCATGTAGTGCATGCAGGGCACGGACAAGTGTTCCTTCGCAGAAAATGCCGAAGACGTTCTCGCAACTCGAAGATTTGGACGCCCGAAATGGGTACCGAAAACATGGGTACAATGCCCAACAGCAAATGTTGTCCCAAACCAACAGCGGCCGCTGTTGGGCGGGCGGCCTCCTGTCTCGAATGGACACAGGCCGCGGCGGCGTGGACAGCGAGCCCTGTTCAAAATGAACAAGATCCGCTGGTGGGCATTGTACCCATTCTTTCAGTACCCATTCCGTGCGTGCAGAGAAGAGCCTGGCTTCAACTCGAACAGGCCCTTCTTGCTCCAGAGAGATGCCTGTGCTGCCAAATTGGCACCGTGGTAGGCGGTCTCGATCTTGGGCTCCTTCTTGCAGAGCTCCCTGTCACGCTGTATCTCCCTAGCGCATATCGGCGACAATCCATGACCCGCCACTGTCCGGTTGGATACGCAATTTGACCCTTGGCATGAGAGCCATCGATGAGTCCTCGGAGATGCCGCAGAGATGCCCACGAGTAAAATGGGATCCTTTGGCCACTTGGATCTCCCAGCTGTAAAACTCCAGAATCAAGGCGGCCAACGCAATCGCAATCAAGCAGGTGGCCCCTCGTCACGTCGACCTTAGGACGCGCTTTCCAGTCCACAGCCTTCATGGCCTCTGCGATAGTTCCGCCGATTGGTGGAGGGTTCTCTACGAATCCTTTTTGGGAATTCCTACGGCACTTGACAACCCGCCAAAATTTTCCAGCTGGCGGGCCAGCTCTGCTTTCTCGTCGCTCCCGCCGTGGATCCTGATCTGGCCCATACTGTCCTCGAGAGCCTTCTCACCTTCCTTCGCCAGCTCCCCCCAGCTGTCGGCGACAAACTTCTTGAAAGGTACCATAAGTTCCTGCCGATCTTCGGAAGTTCGCGGTAGTTCTTGCTGGGGGCGATGGCCAGCGCTGCGGGGGCCCAACCAAACAGGTCTCTGAATGGCGTCCAAATGAGATCTGACACCGGGTGAGAGCCGGAAGGGTTCCTGGAGCTCGGCGCCCGTACACACCTGGAAGTAAACGTAGAGAGGCTCGTACTCACCGCTTTCGCCTGCTGCCTTCAGGTAGTTCTGAACGATTTGAACGAGCAGGCAAAAAACAGGTAAACACACAGTAGTGTTGCAGATTTTGGCATCTTGGAAGCCAGCTTGGGGAGCTCGAGGGGCAGTTTGGGCGGTCTTGGGCCAGTCTTGAAGGCTCTCGGAGGCATGCTAGTAGCTATCTTGCACCATCTTGGGCTATCTTGAGCGATCTTGGAGGCCTTCTTGGGCTCCCTGCGGCCCTCTCGAAATCATCTTGGGCCACGTAGGGCGCTACAGTGACCCGCGGCAACCCCCCGTCCAGACCCAGGGGGAGGGGGGAAGGGGAGGGGGCCCCGCCTCCCCAAAGGGGGAGAAGGGGGTTGGAAGAAGTAACTCGTTAAACTACTCACGCCCTGAAGGGCTTGTCGAATTTGTCCGCACTCGCCTTGGAATACTGCCCCAAATTCCCGAATGATTTCTGCCCGTACCGTTCCGAAACAATCCCGGAAATCGCACCGAAAACCGCGTGAATTTGTCCAGGCGCCATCCGGATGTTTCCGCGTGTTTTTTTTCGACACGCGCGCCCATGGAAAAGCCCACGAAATTGTCGTAGAGGTTTTCGGTCCGAGCTTTTTGTTCCTCCCCGAAGTTTTCACTAGGCCGCGCGGGCAGCCTGGAGGGATGGAGGGAGGGTAGGGTTAAGGGGGAGCGGGGGGCGCACGCCGCAGAAGAGAGACGCAAGGAGACAGGAAACCCACTGGCCATTAGGGCGTGAGTGGTTTAACGAGTTAATTTGCCCAACCCCCTTCTTCCCCTTCGGGGACGGGGTTCCCCCTTTTCCCCCCCCCTCCCGCTGGCTCTGAACGGAGGGGGGGGGCCGCGGGTTGTTGAAGTGCCAAGTGTGGCCCAGGATGCCTTCGAGAGGGCTGCAGGGAGCCCAAGAAGGCCTCCAAGGTCGCTCCCGATAGCCCAATGTGGTTCAAGGTAGCTTCTAACATGCCTCCAAGAGCCCTCAAGACTGCCCCCGGCCTGCCCCAACGGCCCTTCGAGCTCCCCTAGAGGTCTCCAAGGGGCCCAGATCCTTCAAACCCATTGCGTGCTTCAATGTGCTTGCCTTCTCGCATTTTCGCTTCCGATCGGCTCTTGAGGCCTCAAGGTGGCTCCAAGATGGCCTACGAGGGCCCCAAGAGGGGAGCCCAAGACAGCCTCAAGAGCCCCCAAGAGCGCCCCGAGAGCGTCCCAAGAGGGCCCCAAGAGGCGACTTTGCGAGCTCAAGAGGAGGGGCCCTGTTGGAGACACACCCCGTCCTTGACTGACGGCTTTCAAGTTGGCCCCAAGAGGGCCCCCAAGGTTTCCAAGAGGGGCCAAAGAGACCCCAAGAGGGCCTCAAGAGAGCCTCAGGAGGACCCAAGAGGCCTCCAAAGCTGCCCCAAGAGGGCCCCACGATGGCCACAAGATGCCCCCAAGAGGCTTCTAATAAGCACCCACTGCGAAAGACCCGCAAAGGCCTCGATGATTCATTCCTGTCGTCATCGTGACCTTCTTACTCTCCCATCCTTCCTCTTTCTGCTCCACGTCCTCATCCTCCTCCCCACCCCTCCTCTCTGTGTCCTCCTTATCCTCCCTCCCCGCGCCTGTTCATCCTCCGTTTCCTCCTGCGACCTGATGTAACGGCTACCCCACTGTATGTTGCGATACATGCTGATACACTTCCCTGATCAACGCAACTTGACTGGGCATCGTCTCTGCAACTGCTTCCTCCTGCCTGTTCCTGCCTCCTCCTGCTTCCTCATATTTCCTCCTACATCCTCCTACCTCCTCCGGCGCATTCCTACACACCCTGCTTGCCAACGCACGCAGCGCATTGGTGATCCGCGCCGATCACCCAAGCGCCTGCTGCCTCCCGCTGGCTCCTCGTACCTCTCCCCATACGTCCCTCAAGATCCTCCTCCCTCTTCCTCCCTCGTCATGCTGTGGCACGTTTCCCCTTCCTACTGCCCGCTTTTCTCCTTATCATCCTGCTCATGTTTCTCATGTTCCTATTGCTTATTTTTCTTCTTCTCCCCTGCTTCGTTTCTTCCTCCTCCTTCTTACAAGAATCCGCGAACACGGATGCGGCTCACTGCTGCGCTGCGTGCTGATATACATCCCTGATCACGGCAATTCGCCTGGTGACTGGTTTGGGATGGGCATGTGGGGACATGTTTTGATCGCGACCGCGGCGAAGAAAGGTCTGGCGGCGTCCAGGGAATTGCAAGCTAGCAGCGGCCTAAATTAGCGCAAAGGAAGAAGAAGGCGAAAAGAAGGAACAAGAACGAGCAGGAGAGAGATAAACAGGAGGCAAGGCTGGTGGGGATACGCGAAGCGTCGTCAATTAGTCAATTAAGGCAGGGAGGGACGGATGAAAGCCTGGATCCTTCTGGCCACGGCCGACATGCGTCGGAACATCTGTGAGGAGCCAGTTGTGCGGGCTGTCTTGGGCCCCCACAGGGCTCGACTGGGGGCCCTGAGGGCCTGCTTGTAACCTTCTGGGGGGCCCTCCGGGGCTCTTCTTGGAGCCTCGTGAAGCCCTTTTCTGGCCCCCTCTTGGGGCCTCCCGCGGGCCCTGACCGATGAGGAAGACGGGGGGAGGAAAGCGTGGAGAAGGAGAACGAAGGCGAGAAGAGAAAAAACACGAGGATGAAAACGATGCGGGAGGAGCAGGGGAACGGAGGAGAGTTGAAGCTTGTTGCCCACATGATTTTCACACAAACGGTCAAATCGCATGATCGATTGACGTGCGCACATGAAACAAAAATGAACATGCACTTAAAAAAAACGAAGAGAAACATCCTCGCATAACTCACTCTTAACACTGGCGAAACCAACATTCCATAAACTGCTAAGGCGCCAGGAGGGGCGGCCTTGCCTGGCTTGCCTTGGCATTTGCTTGAGCCATCCTTGAATCACAAGACGGCCCAGACAGCCAAATGGGCCGCAAGAGGACTTCAAGAAAGCCAGGCTCCTTGATTTTACTGTGCGTGTTTCAATGATGTTGGCGTTCTCGCAGTGTCGGGCTTCCGACGCTCCAAGGCGGACACATAGGCCTCCAAAATCGCCCCAAGACGGCCCAGAAGGCCCCCCAAAGGCTCGCAAGACGGCCCCAAGGGCCCCAAGACAGCCCAAGAGGCCCCCAAGACCCCCCGAGACGGCCACAGAGACTTGCGAGACGACCCTAGAAATCCCCAAGAGCCCCAAGAGGGCCTCAAGAGGCCTCAGATTCTTCCTCCTCCGCCTTCTCCTCGCTCTCCTCCTCCTCCTCCATTCTCTTCGTCCCCCCAGTGTTCTCCCAAGGGGTTCTAAAACGGCCAGGGGAACACATAGTCCAATAGCTTGACCCGATTTCGGCGTCACGTTTGACCGCATGGGCGTTTCCAAAGTGCAAGGGGCGGCGGTGTTTCGCCGTAGGCGTCTTCGATATCTACGAGAATGGAGGGCGGCTCGTTTTCAACGCTGCGCTCCTGCAAGTCTACCTGGCGTTCGGCTCTCGAGTGGGGAGGGCCTTTTCGCGGCGACGAGGAATGCTCGCCTAAACCTGCGCAGGAAGAGGGGACTTGGGACGAGAGGGCGTACACCAACATCGTTGGGGCACCTTGGATACACTGGTAGCCTCCTCCACATCCTCCTCCTCGCTTCCTTCTCTCTCGTCGTCGCCCTTCTCCTTATCTAACAGGAACGTCGCTGCACAATTGCAGGTTTCCTGGCCGGGTCGGACAGGAAAGCATCATCAATAGCAAAAGCTCATCACCATCACGTGTTGCATGCAAATCCTGGACAGCGCTGAGCAGGCCTCGCAGAGCTCCTCAACCGCCAACGCTTCGGCGCCGCCTCCGTCAAACGCACGTGGTCCCCGACGATTGGAAACTCGCTGGCCAGATCGCTGTCGCCCGCGCGAAGAGTGCCACCTTCGATGATCAACTTGGTATGCTGCCATCTTGCGCACCGATACTACTTACTAGAGGAACCGAGACAGGCTTAAGCATAGTTCTCGCAGGTCCGCGCGGACCTCCGAGAAAGGATGGTCATGCTGGCGTTTACTTGTTGAGCTACCTTGAACGAGGCGTTGCGTAAATATGTTTCGACTTGCTGGGAAGGCAAGCGAATTCATAAGGAGAACGCACAGTGACCTTTGTCTACACTGGCTCAAAACTCACGTCGGCTGGGGACACATAAACAACCATCGAGTCTGCATGGACTCCGCTGCTGTTGGTGCCTGTTCCATTTGCATACTAGACTCTCTGGGCCGCTTGTTCACTGCATTGTTGAAGTATCACGCTGTTGTCGCCGACTACATGTTTTCACCCCCGACTTTGTACAACAACAACAACAACAACAACAACAACAACAACAACAACAGCAACAGCAACAGCAACATCAACAACAAAAACATCAAGCACAACAACATCAACAAACTCAAAAGCAAAAACAACGCCAACAGCACCAAACACAACGACAACAACAATCATGTTAAGACGGTTCGCTCCTATCTGATCACGTGCCAATCAATACGTATATCCCAAGCCTTCGGTACCCGCCCTCGTCGTTTTCGATCGTACCCCATTGGGGGTATATCTTCCTTAACTGCCACGTGTATGTAAAGCAGCCCCTAAAACAAGGGAAGAGAGAACGGGTGGAATGGGGGAGGGAGAAGAATGGAGCACGAGAGAAATTAGCAGGAGAAGGGCAAGGAGCAGAAAACAAGTGGTAGAACCAGACGGGCAGATCGTGTGGGCAGACCCCTAGCGGGCAGGTCGGAAAGGCGGGCCCAGGCGACGAGATCGAGCAGTCGGGTTGATGAAGCATGGGTCCCTGCATGAATCGCGAGGAAGGCGACAGCGCGATTCCCAAGTCAATCGTGAGAAAACCCAGCGTGGGCCACGAAAGGCATACATTCCGAGGCCGCAGAGGGCAGCGACGGGGCCGCCGAGGGCAGCACCGGGGCCACGAAGGGCGGCGAGGAGGCCACAAAGGGCGACAGCGGGGCCACGATGGGCATGCATATGGGGCCACGACGGGCGCGAGCGAGCGGGGGCCACGAAGGGCATATGATGCGGGGCCACAACGGGCAGCGACGGGGGCACTGAGGGCAGCAACGGGGCCACGAAAGGCAGCGAGCGAAGGGCAGCGAGCGGCGACTGCAGTCATTAACGGGCTGGTCGGGCGGGCAGGCCCCGACGGGCGGGTCGAGCGGGCGGCTCGTTGAAGCGTGAGTCCTGCTTGAACTGCCAGGCAACATGTAGCGGTAGCGCGATTCCTGAGTGTCGAAGACCGGCATCTGAATAAATTGTGAGGAAATATCAAGCGAAGCGGTTCCGTGGTAAGTTGCGAGGAAGTCCCAAGCGAGAACGCGTTTCTGCAATAGATTGCCAGGAAGTATCAGGCGGGAGCCGCATCAACAAAAATTATTCTTCAGCATGAAAGTCCAACGGGATTTACACCAGCACGGTCGATAGCGTGGGCATCGATCGCTGGTGCCAAAATGCTAATGCACACTCCCACGTTTGGACTCGCGCAAGTGATCGATTGAAGAATGTATGGTTGGGGCTTCCCAGATACTGTGAACACCGACCCGTTGTTTGAAAAGTCTGGTTTGGAACTCCAGTACGGCGACCACGAGCACCAAAAGCAAGAGCAGTTCGCGATGGGGGCCAACACTTGCCTCGTGCGTGTTGGGACGAGGAAGTCCCACAACCCTTCAGGGCGTGAGCGGTTCGAAGAGATTCCTCTTCCATCTACCCTCCTCCACTTCGGGGAAGTGTGTATCCCTCTCGCTCCCCCACCCCCCAGGAGTTGGTTTTTGCCGCGACGGGGAAACCAACATGATTGATGGTGCTTGGCCACATGTGGGCGCGCCCTTCATTTGATCGATCTCCTCCTAGATGGCCTCAAGAAGGCCCCTGAGGCTCCCAAGAGTGCCCCAAGTCGGCCCCAAGAGGTGCCCAAGAGGCCCCAAGATAAACCCGAGAGGCCCCAAAGATGCCCCAAGAGGCTTCCACGAGACCCTCCCTCCCACCTTCCATCTTCCCTTCCCCCCCCCCTCCCCCCCTCCCTCCCTCCCTCCTTCCGTCCCTCCTTCCTGCTCCTCCTCCGCCTCCTCCTCCTCCTCCTCCTTCTTCTCCCCCTCCTTCTCCTCTGCCTCCTCCTCCTCCTCCAAACTCCTCACATCCCGCCCATCTTCCTCGTTCCTCCCTCTTTCTCCTCCTCCTCCTCCACATCCCGGTGCTGCTGCTGCTCCTCCTGCCCCTGCTCCTCCTCCATCCTGCCCCGCCATCTTCGCCCCCCCCCCCCCCCCCCGGGCGGAGGCGCGTGTCGGGGTTCGTGAAAGGGAACGGGTCGTAGCTCCCCGGCCCGGGGGTCTCGGCCCCCGTCCTAGTTGCGGCCACAAGCGCGGCTCCCAGGCGCTCCCCGCCGACACCCGCCGTCGCAGACGGGCCGTCGCGGCTGCTGACGACCACGACGACGACGACGAACACGACGACGACGGCAACGACGACGAGATCGACGACGACGATGACGACGACGACGATGGCGGCGGCGGCGGTGGCGGCGGCGGCGACAAGGACGAGGAGGAGGAGGAGGACGACGACGACGACGACGACGACGACGACGGCGGCGGCGGCGGCGGCGGCTGCGGAGGAGGGGGGAGCGACTGCCGTTTGGGGCCCCTGTGCTGTATTCATTAAAGCGGACTGCGCGCGTCGCGCAACCTTGGCATGCAAGCGCGTCGGGCCATCAGGATCAGAATTCCGAGAAAACCTATTGCCTAGGTCGGCTACAGGCCTACAACCAGGCTCTGGGGGGAACATCTATATATAGAGGGAGTTTGAAAAAACAAGGATCTTCAAAAGCAAGGAATTTGAAATTCTAGGTTGTCGCGTAGAGATCGCAGCCCCGAAGCGGGGCAGGTAACGAAACTAGGTGTTTAAACACACAAGAACCAGGGCAGCGACGCGGCATGAAACAAAACAAGGCTTCGTCTGGGAATTGTGCTGGGGGGAGATCTAGGCGAAGATCTGGGGGAAGATCTAGGCGCAAATCCGAGGGACGAAATCTGGGGAAGATCTGGGGGGAGATCCGGGCGAAGATATGAAGGACGATCTGGGCGAAGATCTAAGGGGGCATCAGGGTGAAGATCTGGAGGAACATCTGGCGAGATATCCGAGGGGAAATCCGGGGAAGATCTGGGGAAGATCTGGGGAAGATCTGGGCGAAGATCCGGCGGGAGATCGGGGCGAATATCTGGAGGAAGATCTGATGGAAGATCTGGGGAGATTTGAAGGAAGATCCGGAGGAAGATCCGGGGGGGGGGCTCTGGGGGAAGATCTGGAGCATCTGGCGACATATCTGAGGAATGCGTGGAGGAAGATCTGGGCGAAGATCTGGGGGAAGATCCGAGGAACATCTGGAGGAAAATCCGAAGAGGGGATCTCGGGGGATCTCTGGGAGATCTGGGCGAAGATCTGGACGAAGATCTAGGCGAAGATCTGGGAGGATATTGGCGAAGATCTGGAGGAAGATCTGGGGAAAATCTGGATGAAGATCTGGACGAAGATCTGGTGGTAGATCTGGGGGGGGATCTGGGGGAAGATCTGGGGGAAGATCTGGGGGATGATCTGGGGGAAGATCTGGGGGAAGAGTTGGACGAAGATCTGGGCGAAGATCTGGGGGAAAATCTGGGGTGGAGATCTGGGCGAAGATCTGGGGGAAGATCTGGGGAAAGATCTGAGGGAAGATCTGAGGGAAGATCTGGAGGAAGATCCGGGAGGAGATCATAGGGAAGATCTGGGCGAAGATCTGGGGGACGATCTGGGGGAAGACCTGGCAGAAAATCTGGGGGAAGATCTGGAGAAACATCTGGGGGAAGATCTGCGGGAAGATCTGGAGGAAAATCTGGAGGAAGATCAGGGGGGAGATCTGGGGGAAGATCCGGAGGAAAATCTAAGGCAAGATCTGGCAGAAGATCTAGTGGAAGATCAGGGGGGAGATCTGGGCGAAGATCTCGGGAAATCTGGGGGGAGATCTGGTGGAAGATCTGGAAGAAATTCCCGAAGACAAACTGGGGAAATATCGCCGTGACCATGTTTGAGCTTATGTTTTCGAGAATCACTCGCGCGATGACGGCAAAGCATGAAATAACACAAAGAAATTCAATCATATGATCTTAGAATAGATCCGCGAGGCTGAGTGAAAACGGAAACGGAGGAGGCGCGCCGCGCGAAATGCGAAGACGCCGTGAACAGAAAACGGGCGCAAAAAACAAAGCATGGCCACCCTTCTCGCACACAAGCGAAACGCGAACAAAACGCACGGCTCGTGCCCGCGCGAGAACAACACACAAAACACAACATAGGCCTCATTCCCCAAAGGGGCAGGCCCGCGCCTACTGTGTAGAGTCCGCGCAAAACGTGTTCCCGAACGCGTTTAGAACGAAAAACAAAAAGAAACGAAACCAACAGGAACAAAACAAGTAAACAATGTTTACCTTGAGCCCTGTGACGAAGATCTGAGCAAGATCTGAGGAAGATCTGGAGGAGATCTGAGGAAGATACGAGGGAGATCTGAGGGGAAGATCTAGGTGAAGATCTGCGGGGAGATCAAAGGGAACATCTGGGGGAAGATCTGGGTGAAGATCTGGAGGACAATTCGGAGGAATATCTGGGGATGATCACCGTGGCCTTTAAAAAAAACTAGGTTTCCGAGTATCACTCGCGCGATGACGACACGGCATGAAACCAAACAAGGAATCTTAACCATATGGTTTTAGATCAGACCCGCGAGGCTGAGCCCGGGCATGCCGACCTAGTGTTGTTTGAACTCCCGGTGTGTGTATATATATATATATAGATGTAAAGGTTCAAGCTCGGCGCACGGATGCCTGCAGAACTTACGCCGAATCCGACCGCACGACACCCCGGCGGCCGTATTGGGACCGCAAACCAGGACGGGCCTAGCAGGTTGAGGAGGAGATGCGAGACGGCGATGACAGACGGACGGCGATGACAGACGGACGGCGTCGACAAGCGACGGCGACGCGAGGGCCCAGTGACCCGAAGGGAGGCTAGGGGAAATCAAGCTGCTCGGATTTTCCCTTGCACGCATCAGAATCCTGCGGCTCTGAAGCACGATTGGGCACTTTGGGTACCCAGTACGAATTCCGCATTTCAGGCACGTTGCTCCACAAAGCGCGGCCTTGATGACCAACGGGGTCGGCGTGGCGACACCGCGCCAGACGTGGGGCACGGCGCCGCGCCGACCGCGCGCGGGCGGGGCCGCGTGCAGCGGCCCGCCGCCCCGCGCGGGGGGGCGCCCGCGCACCGCCGCGGCCGACTGCGGCACGAGGGCGCGTGAGGCGCCAGCCGACGGGCGACGACAGAGGCACGGAGGCCAATCGCCGCAGGAGCCAATCGGTGGGCCAGGCCACGGGGGAAACTTCATGCGGCGCCACCCGCCGCCCGCGCCATGCGCGGGCGGAGCGTCGCCTGCAAAGCGCCGCTGCGGCAAGCTCGCGCGCCCCCCTCTGCCCGTCCCGACTGTGAACAAGGGGAATTGGGGGACGAGGGGGGGGTCCGGTGGCGCGGATTCCGATGGCGCGGGGTGGGGGAGAAGAGGGTTCCGTGGTGTGTGAATTTGAAGGAGCCTCAGCTACAGCCTCGAGGCTGAGCTTCAGCCTCTGGGTGGGGTGCCGGGGTGGCTCTGCCAGGAAAGGAGGGGAGGGCGGGGCGCGCGTGCGCGCGGGGTAATGTTTGTCCGTGTACGCGAGAAGAGAATCGGGGAAAGAGGGAGGGAGAAGTGGAATGGGACAAGAGCGGAAAACGGGGAACCGATGGGGGGGAAGGTGGCTGTGAAATGCGTGTCTGTTGTGTGTGGTGTGTGTGCGTGTGTGTATGTGTGTATGTGTCTGTGAATATGTATGTGTATGTGTATGTGTGTGTATGTGTATGTGCATGTGCATGTGTATGTGTATGTGTGTTTGTTGCGGTGTGCGTGGTGTGTGTATGTGTTCTGTGTGTGTGTTGCCGGCGTGTGCGTGCGTATGTGCCTGCGAAGGTGGCGCGCGTGTGTGAGTGCGGTGCGTGTGTGTGTGTGTGTCTGTGGGTATGTAGTGTGTGTGTGTGCGTGTGTGTGTGTGCGCGTGTGCGCGTAATGTCTGCGAGCGTGTGCGTGCGTGTTTGTCGGCGAAATGTAGCCGCCCAGTCTGGGGGGCACCCCAAGCGACCCCGATTGGCGGCACTGACCGAAGGCCACTGCAGTACGCATGTCTTGGCTAGAACGCGGCCGTCGATTTCTTGGCCACATGTCCGCCATCCTGGGTACGCATGCTTCTGCGATTGCGAAAACATGCGATTGTGCTATTGCCAGACGATGAAACGCGAGAACAGAAGTTGCCAGTGAGGCCAAAAGCGCAAACTGGCATCCACACGTATCGACTAGAACTTACCATCGGCTTCTTGGCCACATGTCCGCCCTCCTGGGTACCCATGCTTCCGAAATTCCGAAAACATACGGCCTTGCGATTACAACGCGATGCATGAGGCGCGAAATCGAACACGGCGGATGGTGCAAAAAACGTAACTTGAAATCCACATGTATTGGGTAGAACTGTACACATAAATTCTTGGCCACATGTCCGCTTTTCTGGGTACACATGTTTCCGCACATGCGAAAGCATACGGCTTTGTCGTTGACAGATGATGAGGCGCGAGAGCAAAACATGTTTATGATGCAAGAAACCGTTAGGAATCCACATTTGTTGGCTAGACTTTTTGGCCACATTTCCACTATCCTGGGAGCGCGCGTGTTTCTCTTCGTCTTTTGCGGCGAAAGCGTATTGTCCTTCTATTGCCAGAAAAAGCCAGACTTTCAGGCAGAGGTTATGAGGCCCCGAGAAATTTTGACGATTTAGAGCATAGATGCAACCACGGCTTAAACCGCCCAGGCCTGTCACCAGCCTGTAGCGGGAGGATCCTTATCGGATTTCAATTGGGATCCAATAGCTCCTTTTTGATATCACAATGCTAACAATAGGACGCCAATTGGGGCACAGTATGCTTCAAAGAAGACCGGGTTTGTTAGGTTACAATTGGGTCGTGATGGGATCCCATTCGTATGCCCGTATGGATCGGAAAGAATGGATTCCGATTGGATTCCATTGCGATATCCTTCGTATTCGCCAATGTGGTTCAGATGGGCTTGCATCGGGAACCATTCCTACTGTTTTTGAATAAAAACCCCTAAGGGTCCCCACCGGGTTTCCATATAGTACCCCAGTGCGTTTCCCGAAGCATTCCAATATGAAGGTTCCTCGGTTGTAACCCAATGAGGTTTCCAATCGGTATCCATTAGGAAGGGTCCCAAAGGGCTTAAATAGA